TTGGAGATTCAGGTCTCTTTGTTATTCCTTTTCCACCGACTTTCTTTTTACACTTTCTGACCTTTTAAAGTCATTAATGAAGGTTTTATTTTTCATTCAAATACCTCAGAAGCCCTAAGGTTTAGTATGGAGAATAGAGGATAAGAGTTCCAGTCATTCAATTAAATTTAACAAGCATTTATTTAACACAGAGCTATTATTACTAGGACAAGGATGTTGGGGTCTTTGCCCTAAGAGGCTAAAATTTCACGGGTAGTGAGTGTACTTGAACTCATTCCAGCAGCAGGTAAAAATAACTAAGCTAGCCCCTAGTGAGCAAGAATGATGAGCTAAAATAGGAACTCACCAGATGGATCCTTTATCTTTCTTTCTTTTCCCACTCACTTCAACTCTTCTGTGGATCATCTTTGTCTTGCTTATTCCCTGGAGGTCAGTCAGCAATGTGGGGAAGGGGGGGAGTAGACAACGGCAACCTACCCGCAGCACACTTTAAATATGCATTATTAACATTTCCTCCATCATTTCTTTTTTGGTGAGACAATTGGAGTTAAGTGACTTGCCCAGAGTCACACAGCTAGTGAGTGTTACGTGTGTGTTTAAGGCTGAATTTGAACTCAGGTCCTCCTGACTCCAGGGCCAGTGCTCTATCCACTGTGCCACCTAGCTGCCCCCATCATTTTCTTAAACTAGATCAATCAACAAAACAATACCTCAAGTATCAATTTGTAGCATTTGTGAATTCCTGAGATGTAAATGCTCCCACTGAACATTTAACAATCTGCTCTCCATAGTCAGTTCATGTTGACTCTAGCATATCATATCACCCTACCTTTTAGGCTTTACCATATGGTCTATATCCTGGGGTCTCTTCCCAAGGTTCCTATCCCTCTCCCCAGTTCAGCTGAATTTATCTTAAAATGCCATTCTGGAGTACCTTTGTGATGCTGGTCCCAGCATGTTTTGGGGTGCTTGCTCCAAGTGCCAGAATGACTAATTATGGTTCTGCGTAAGCCCTTACTCTGCCATAGGAACTATGCTAGGAGGTAAAGCTACACAGACCAAAGAGAAAACAGCCTCTGCCCTTAACAAACTTACATTCTGTGGTGGGGGATATAATTTGTGCCTAGATGAGTAAATGGAGAGTGAGAGGTAATGAGGACCTAAACTGGCATGGTGGCCTGTGTTCATCGAGAGATAAGGACAGATGTCAGGGTGCAGTGAGTGATGGGCTGCATATGGGCCCAGCAATGACATACATGTGCACAAATATTTCTAGCAGCTCTCTGTGTGGTGTCAAAAAATGGGAGACAAAAAGGATGTCCAGTAGTTGGGGAATGGATGAACAAATAGTGACACATGAACATAATGAAATATTGGTGTGCTTTAAGAAATGAGTAAAAACGGTGATTTTGAAGGGATGTGGAAAGGCTTGCATAAACTGACCCATTGAAGCAAGCAGGACAAGGAGGATAATTTATACTATAACATAGATATTCTATAATATTGAATACTCTGGTCCCCCCCTCCCCCCCCACTGCCTGAAGGCCAGGTGTGTTGTCCTTCACCCCTCCTCCAGGGTTTTCCAGTACTTTTACGGAGATTTGGGAGTGTCTGGTCTCTCTGTCATTGGCTCCAGCTTCCACAGATGGTACTCTTTCTTCTTCTTTTTACGGTCACCTTTCTATTTTATTTTATTTTTTAAAAAATTTATTTATTTTTAGTTTTCAACATTTACTTCCACAAGATTTTGAGCTCCAAATTTTTACTCCATCTCACCCCTCCCCCAACCCCAAGATGGCATGCATTCTCAATACTCCTTCTCCTCATTTGCCCTGCCTTCTATCTCTCCCCCCCTTCTCTTATCCCCTTCCCCTTCTATTTTCCTGTAGGGCAGGATAGATTTCTGTAGATGGTGCTCTTTCTAAGGTTCCCTTGTGCCCCCAGTTTCATTTAACCACTTAACTAACGGACAACTCTTACAAAGGAATATTTACTTCAAAGGCATAGCAAAAACAAACATACAAACACTGCCCCCCAACACCTGCAGAGTTACACACAGGGGCAGCACACCATGCTACCAGGCTCAGTCTCTAGGGAGGGGAAGGGGATTAGGTTCATAGCTCAATTGAATTTCTATATAACATGGTCACACCAAGTTCTGAGTAGAAAGCTCCCTCGGGCTCATATTTCACTACCCAGACTTCTCCGAGCTTCCCTGCTGGGCTGACAGCAACATTGGGCTTGGCATCCTGGATCCAAGGTAACCATGGTTTAAGCGCCTCCATCTGGGGAGTCCATCGGCTGTTCCTGTAACAAAAAGGGAAAACAAAACAGATCCAAACTCCAAATCCACTTCTCAGGATCTAAAAGGGAGATGGGGGTAGGGTAGGGTGGAGCATGGGGTGTGAAGGTAACTCTTCATCCTAAGCAGCTTAGTTTATAGTGCCTCCTGCTTTGGGTGAACAGAACCTTCACCCCCTGGACATAGCCAGAAAGAGAAAGAAAATGTCTCATTCTGGCATTTTTAAAGATACAGCTTGTTCTGGCTTCCTACCCAAGTCATAGGGGAACAGGATGTCTTTTCCTGGAAGCAAAGCATCTTCCGCTTGAGTGACTCCACCTTAGGTGATCTGGGCATGTGCCAAGGCTGGGTTACATTCATAAAAACAATTTTGGAGACACAGTGACCATCCATGACGCCAGCAGATGTATGATAAAGCTGGCTATCCACCTCCTGAGAGAGGTGCAGAATGAGACATTTATTTTTTTAGACATAGCCATTAAGGGAATTTGTTTTGCTTGATGATGCATGTTTGTTTTTCTTTTTTTTTTCAGTGGAGTAGGAAGGAGAGAAAATAGATTTCTATTCATTTAAAAATATAATAATAACAATGACCACAACTATAAAGTTGTAGAACCTGCCTTAAATCTTGACTCTACTGCTTAACTTTTATGTGACCGGCCAACTCGATTCACCTCTCCAACCCTCAGTTTCCTTATCTGTAAGGGAGCTGAACTTCCTGACCTCTGAAGTCCTTTCCAAATCCCCAGATGTGCTTCTTTGATCAGTATACAAGCTGACCCTAGAGGCAGAACTGATAAAACTTGGCAACTGACTAGGTAGGGATGAGAGGCTAAGGGAGTTAGGAGAGTTTAGGATGTTTATGAAATTGCAAACCCAGGTGCTTCAAATGATGACTTTTTACGCCCTCAATAGAAATAGTTACGAAAGGGGATGGTAATTTGATTAGGGAATATGTGGATTTCAAAATGTCCCTGGTCTATGGGATATCATAGGGCAGCTAGGTGACACAGTGGATAGAGCACCAGGCCTGGAGTCAGGAAGCCCTGAATTAAAATCCAGGCTAGCTGTGTGACCATTGGCAAGTTATTTAACCCTGTTTGCCTTGGTTTCATCATCTGTAAAATGAGTTGGAGAAGGAAATGGCAATCACTCCAGTATCTTTGCCAAGAAAACCCCAAATGGAACCAAGAAGAGTCAGACATGACTGAAAAAAGTCAACAACAAATGGGATATCAAGGTGAAGAGGCTTAATGGGTAGTTGGTGATGTGGGCTGGAACTCAGGAGAGATATTAGTATTCGTTAGATCTGGGAGTCATTTGTGTAGAGATGTTAATTGAATCTGTGGAGGTTAATGAGTGAGTGTGGAAAGAAAGAAAAGGTCCATGGTTAGAGTCATGTCTTCCTTCCTTCCTCCCTTCCTCCCTCCCTTCCTCCCTTCCTCCCTTCCTCCCTTCCTCCCTTCCTCCCTTCCTTCCTTCCTTCCTTCCTTCCTTCCTTCCTTCCTCTCTCTCTCTCTCTCTCTCTCTCTCTCTCTCTCTCTCTCTCTCTCTCTCTCTCTCTCTCTCTCTCTCTCCTTTCTTGATTTTGATACCAGCTATGGACATTATGGGCATTAATTTCTTTATCTCTAAAATGAGAGAATAATGCTTTCTGTCTCCCTGGGCAGGTGGAAATGATAAAACAGATACCCTGAAGGACAGGTGATTAAAACTAAAAGACTGGATTCAAATCCCTGTTTTGCATTCTACTACCTATTTAACATTAGGAAATTCTCTTAATCTTGTAGGCCTCTGTTTCTTCATCTGAATAGTAAAGCGATTAGATTAGATGATCTGTAAGGTCCCTCAGGATTTTAAATCTTATCATCCAAAAGAAAAGATAATAGAAGTTATTCCATTAATATTCTATATATGTGTGTAATTTATGAGTTGTATAATAATAGTAATTAATATTTGCCTATTTCTTAGTATACCATTTTGCCCCACAAGAACCCTGTAAGATAAGTAATGAGAACATTATTATTTGTTTCTTTATAGATCAAGGAACTGAAGCTCAGAGTAGTTAAATTATGTGCCTGTGGTCACACAGCTAAGACTTATTACAGCAGGTTTTGAATCCAAGTCTTCCTGACTCCAGGTCCAGTTCTCTAGCCACTAGACCAGCTGTCAGAAGGATTGTGTCCTTCTTTTCTTTCTTTTTCTCTCCCTATTCCCTCTGAAATGAATCTTACTTAAAAACAACTTGCTGTGGTTTCCTTTTCATCCATAAGAAGTCTTATTTTTCATCATTATTTCTAGATGAGAAACGCAGCAGGCATGAAAGCTGTTGTTGGTCCTTGTTCTGAGCTGACTCAAGCCACGTGGGCAGCCAAAGGGAAAATGGGGATTTCAAATGTCTTGGCCATTTTTGTTGTTAATTCCTCCATTCCCCAGAGAACTAGATATCCTGTGGAGTTCTAGGACTCTACTGAGGTTATAACAAATGTGGCGATAATGGCAGTCTAAATGCCTGAGTTATAATATTTAATTGGGTAGCTTGGCCTCCACTTAAGGTGGAATTTTGGAAGCCTGATAATTTTCACAGAAACCTGTGACTTCAAGCATCTTAAAGAGAGGGTTTGAGAAGGAAATAAAGAAAGGAAAGACATCCAGGATATTTCAATTCATTTGTGCTTGACTTATATTTATTAATTGTTCATATAATTAACACTGATTTTTCTCACAATTAGGTTTTGATGTGTTATTCTTTCAAAAATAAAAGTCTCTTTTATTGGTAATGGTATCTTACCTTACAGCCCCAAATTATATTGGTAAGTGGAGTCGTAAAATATTCTCACATAATTTAAACATTTTTGGGTTGCAGGAAGCTGGCAGAACAGGTCCTACACCCCCTTTTCTTTGGGTGCTGAAGAAGAGCCTAATAGGGAAGAAAACCTTAGAAGGCCATCAACAATAGGCATTAAGAGCCTACTATGCGTCAAGCACGGTGCTAGGTGCTGGAGGAATCCAAACACTACAGTGAAACTATCCTAGCCCTTATGGAGATTATATTCTATACAATCCAGTCTGAGCCACACTGTGGGATACTGAGTCACAAAGAAAGGAACTTAACTCCTCTAAAAGACAAGTCCTGAAACTCTTTTATCTCCAGAGGGTCAGGCAAGAAAGAACTCAAGAATAGAATTTGGAATTAGAAGACTTAACTCCATGCGCAGCGAAAATTAAGTACCTCTGTGAGCACTGCCAAGACACATCACCTCTAAGAGTCTATTTCCTACCAGTGTAAAAATGAGGAAAGTGGTCTAGATGAGGTCTCTTGCTCCAAAACCCTAGATACAACGATTAGAGGAAATGACTGAGCGCTAAATCCACGCTAAAACAGCGCTTCGGGAGTGCGGTGGGCGCTAGGACCCTGCCATTGGGCAGCCTGGGGACGTGTCGGAGGAGGGCTAGGGAAGCTTTAGCGCCCAGAGAAAAGGCTCTTGGAGAAATACAGCCCCTTGCACGTGCGGGTGCGTCCTAGACACTTGGCTGCAGCTAGGATGCGGGGGTGTGGGTCCGGGTCCCAGGCGGGCGGCGCGGAGACTGCAGCAGCGTCAAGCTGCCGCCGAGCTGCTCCGGGGAGCCCGAGCAGTCTGCAGCCCAGAACCGTCCCGGGGGAAGGGATCTCCTCACCCGCTCTGCGATCAGCACTGGGCTCTCCTGCCTCTGCCGGGATGCATGAGCCGGGCGCTCGCGAGGGACGGCGGTACAGCAGCAAAGAGGTGAGCCTTGGGGTTGGGGGCGCAACTGGAGCCGGGGGCGGGGAAGGCAAGCGGCTTCCAGCGCCAGGATCACTAAGTCATGTTGGCAAAACACAACCTCCAGGGCATGTCATTCAAACTCAGGCTGTTCTAAAGAGAGGGCGAAGCCAGACCCCCCAGATAGACACCGGGATTGCAGTGGGCCTGCCGACTTGTTCTTCTGGGGTAGTCGAGGAGAGTAACTCCCCCACCTTCACCATGTTTCATCTTTGAGGGCTCCCGTAGATCGCCTCCCTGGCAAGGGGTAACCTGGTTGTCTTGGTGTTTCCCCCATGCCCATCTTCCTAGCTTGCTACTTCCCCAGCGTCGGTAGGACCTCGGAGACTCCTTTCGTATAAAAGCTACCTGCTCGCTTCCAAGGGGACTCGCCCTCCTTCCCGGCGAGTGTACATTCTGGCCGACTTGACTTTCTTTCTCCTGTTGCGCCTCACTTTTCCCACACTCAGATCCCTCTTTTTTCTCCCTGCTCGCACCCTGCCGGTAGCACTCTTTAGAGGGGTGTGTGTGTGTGTGTGTGTGTGTGTGTGTGTGTGTGTGTGTGTGTGTGTGTCTGTGTGTGTCTGTGTCTGTGTCTGTGTGTGTCTGTGTCTGTGTGTGCGTGTGTGCGCGCGCGCGCTCCTCCTGCTCCCCCTCTCTCGCTGCGTAGCTGCTTTCTTTTTCTGGGGGAAGGCTGCTTCTTACAGCCTCTGCTGTTTGAGACCCTGTTGCTGGCCTCTGCTGGTTGAATCAGCTGAAGGCTTCCTCGGCCTCCCAGTGCACCCCCCCCCCCACCCCTTAGAGGCCCTTATCGCCTCTCCCTGGTTATCCAGAGGACCTAAGATTTCTTTCCAAAGCAGTCACCACCTAGGGCGATGTTTGCTGGGCAAACAGAAGAAACATATTGATTTAACAGTTGCCTGTGGGAAGTTGTACTGTGAGGGAGGAGTGGTCGGGACGGAGAAAAGGGTCTCCTTCTAACTGACGGCGTTTACAGTAATAACAATCTGCTGTGCATAAGAGGCGGGAAGTGGGTTGATTGCCTTTCCGAGCGGTGCTGGAGGACAGGGTGAATCGGCTTGTGGATCAGAGCTCCAGGATTTTCTGTGTTCTGGGATCCAGGACTCTGCTCTCTGATTGATTGCTCCGGGCAGTAGGGGAAAGTTACAATTGTCTTCGGTTTTGGAGGGCTGAGGCCAGGACAGGAAATCGTAATACTTTACTTAACCTTTATAAATACAAAGATAGTTGTCTTAATCTTTTCAAATCTCCTCTGTAAAGCCTCAGCCTTAGCATTCGGTTGATCCAGTTTTCAGTTGCAGGTTGTTTTTGAGCCTACGGAGTCTGACATTAATTTACCTCTCCATGTTGGCAGTCTTAAGAAGGAACTCATGATTGAATGAATGAGCAGGCCTGAGTTGCCAGGGCTGCCACTTGGAATTCTTGTTTCACTGGAGTACCCACACTGGACTCTGTGTGTGTGTGTGTGTGTGTGTGTGTGTGTGTGTGTGTGTGTGTGTGTGTGTGTTTATGTTCAAGTGTACACGCTCCAGCAATATTTGTAACGCTCATGTCAAGACATTGCAGATATTTTGAAGATTTTATTTTATTTTTTTGCGGGGAGTAGTAGGAGCCCTGAAATTATTTAACAAATCTATGGTGACTGAAGAAAAAGGAAAAACCTTAGGTTGATGTTGTCTTTCCTGGGGCCTGTTAATCAAAACACCTTCAGTAAGTAAGGGGTGTAACTGAGAGAACTAAATAACTGTGTTACCAGTTTTCTAGAACTGCATAGTCTAAGGAGCTCATGTCAGCAGTCTGCCACATATGGGTTTTATCCACTTTATAGATTTTCTATTCATCAAAAAGGGAGGAAGAATTCACTTAGGATAAGACTCCATCTGACAAATAGGGGAGAGAGGGAATGAACATTTATTAAACATCTAGTATGTGCCAGGCAAAGTCACTTAACCCTGTTTCCCTCAGTTTCCTCATCTGTAAAATGAGATGGAGAAGGAAATGGCAAACCACTGCAGTATCTTTGCCAAGTAAATCCCAAATGGGGTCACAAAGAGTCAGATGGGACTGAAACAACTGAACAACAGCGAGGACAACAACATGTGCCAGTCACTATATTAAAGGCCTTTTCCTGGGCAAAGACAGGTGAAGTGACTTGCCTAGGGTCACACAGCTAGCAAGTGTCTGACCTTAGGTCTTCTGACTCCAAGGCCTAGTGCTCTATCTATTGTGATACCTAGCTTGGCAAAATCATTGTTTTGTACTTATGTAATATTGTGTATTGTAGTTACCTATTATTTATACCAGATCTTACTATAAGGGCAGTGGCCCTGTAAAAAGTAAGTGATCAGTAAATGTTTGTTGATTAAAATGTTGGTTGTTAAAATGTTTATTAAGTGAAAATATTAACCTGAAAACTTTTTACTGTCTTTACACATTTATTGGCATCGTGTCACAGTGTATCTGATGAAAGAGAGAAGAGTTAGAATGAAGAAAGTCTGGACCAGAACTATGGGATAATTTGTTTTTATTGAAATTCTGCCACATTGAAATCAGATTGTTTTTAGATCTGTCCCAATTCTTTCAGACTCTGGGGCTATGGAGCTGGGTTAAAATGGATGAACATTCAGTTAATACTGACAGTACTTTTGCCTGCGTATGTTGAGGGCCCAAAATAAAGGATCCTATTTAAGAATGGGGTGTCATTTTTTAACCAGGAAAGGCATCATGATCTCTTCTGAGTTAGTGCTGATGGAAAAGTCATTCCTTTTTTTTAACCAGCCTGTCACAGGAATAAGTAGGGGTCAAGCAGCAGAATGTATTTCATGGCCACTGAATTCATGAAAAATTAGGAAAAGTTAAAGGATGCTGCTTGGTGTGATCACAACAGCTTAATATGTTGTTTCCATATTATGAAGTGAGAAAATTTGTCAGTTGACAGGATAGATATTACACCACCAAATTACCTGCAATTTATAAATCTTAGAGAGTGGCTGGAAGCACTGAGAGATTAAACTAGTGTGTGTCAAAGGCAGGATTGGAACCCAAGGCCTTTCTGAATCCAAGGTCAGTGTTCTATCCACCATGCCATGCTGCCTGTCTGCTCAAGGGGGAAAAGCACAACAATCTCAGTCCAATCCCAGTACAATTTAATATATTGAAGCCAGTATACTGTACTTATTCATTAGGGATTGACTTAGTAGCAACTTCTCATGGTGGTATGTTTGATAATGAAAAAATAAAGAGGTCTCCTGGGGCTTCGCTAAATATAACATATCTCCTGAGCCTTCTAAAGTAAGCACAGCTTAGAACATAGTACCCTGTTCACTTGTTAAACCTAGAGCTGGAAAATACCTCAGTGGTCATTGAGTCCAATTTCCTTATTTTATATTGTTATTTTAAAAAATTTATTATTATTATTATTTATTATTTTTAAAATATAAATTTATTTATTTTTAGTTTTCAACATTCACTTCCACAAGTTTTTGAGTTCCAAATTTTCACCCCATCTCCACCCTCCCCACCACCCCAAGATGGCATGCATTCTGAATATCCCTTCCCCTAGTCTGTCCTCTCTTCTATCTCTCTCCCCTTCTCTTATCCCCTTCCCCTTCTATTTTCCTGTAGGGCAGGATAGACTTCTGTACCCCATTTCCTATATTTCTTATTTCCCAGTAGCATGTGAAAACATTTTTTTAAACATATGTTTTTAAAACTTTAGGTTTCAAATTTTCTCTCTTCCTCCCTCTCCACCCACCCTCATTGAAAAGGCAAGCGACTCAATATAGGTTGTACATGTGCAGTTATGCACAACACCTCCATAGTAGACATGTTGTGAAAAACTAACTCTATTTCCCTTAATCCTATCCTGCCCTCCCATTTATTCTATTCTTTCTCTTGACCCTGTCCCTCCTCAGAAGTATTTGCTTCTGATTACCCCCTTTCCCAATCTGCCCTCCTCTCTGTCATCCCCCTGCTCTCTTGTCCCCTTCTCCTCCTATTTTCCTGTAGGGTAAGACAGATTTCCATACCCAATTGAATGTGTATGTTATTCCCTCCTTAAGTCAAATCCTATGAGAATAAGATTCACTCATTCCCTCTCACCTTCCCCTGTTTCCCCTCCACTGTGAGAGACTTTTTCTTTTGTGTTTTTTTTTGAGATAATTTACCCCATTCTACCTCTCCCTTTCTTCTCCGAGTATCATCCTCTCTGATCCCTTAATTTTATTCTCCAGATATGACCCCTTAATCTTCAACTCACCCTGTGCCCTCTATCTATCTACATATAAAAAAATTTATTATTTTTTAAAAGCACAGACTTTTTTGTTCATTTTTTTTCAGTTCCAAATTATTTCCCTCCCCCTACTCCCTCTCCTACCAAATGAAGAGGCAAGAAAAACAAAATCCATAACAAATATGTATAGTCATGCAAAACAAATGTTCACATTAGCCATGGCTATGTAGATATATGTATATATACACATACATACACACATATGTATATATACATATACCTATATGTACACATACTTTAATCTGCGCACTCTGAGTCCATCAGTTATCTCTCTGGAGGTGGATAGCATGTTTTGTCATGAGTCCTTTGGAACTGTGGTGGTTCATTGTGTTGATTAGAGCTCCTAACTCTTTCAAAGTTTTGTCTTTATGGTATTATTATCATTATCTTTACAAGATTGCTGTTCATGCTGTCCATCATGTAGATTGCTCAGGTTCTTCCCACTTTACTTTGCACCAGTTCATGGAGTTCTTCCCAGGTTTTCTGAAACCATTGCCTTCATCATTTCTTATACCACAATAGCATTCCTTTACATTAATATACGCTAACTTGTTCAGCCATTCTCCACTTGATGGGCATCTCCTCAGTTTCCAATTCTTTCCCACTACAAAAGAGCTACTATACATATTTTTATATGTATGGGTCCTTTTCCTCTTTCTATGGTTTCTTTGGG